TGCCTGAAACAGAAAAAGGAGCAAAGCACTGTCCTCTGATTAGTGACTGGGCATGGGGTAACCCCATGAAGACCCAGGGGTTCTAGGCAAAGAAAAGTCAGATAGATGCCACAGTTCAGTCTCTCAGTGCAGCCTTTAGTAGATTTGATAAATGCAGATTTTCATTGCACAGTGAACCCTAACCACAAAAAAACCCCAACTCATCACATATTTCCAGCAAATGAGTCTGTGATTACTAGCTTACTCATTAAATATTTCAAAGAAAATCTCTTATTTTTCTGATGTTGTTCTGGTACCTAATTGCCAGAAATAATGTCCTGGTAATCAGGTTTTTTAATTCAAGGCTGAGAACAAGCTCATTTACAGCAACTCCTCTTCTTGGTGACTGGAGCTAGACACATTTATCCCAGTTAATTTTGCTGCCAAAACAAATTTATTTATTCACCATACAGCTTGCAAAACAAGAACATTATAATCCAATTCCCCATTGCCTTTTACAGCCCGTTAATAATGCTCACTGTCAAAGGACACTGCAGCGCCTCAGCCCAAGAAGTGTCCGTGCTAATTATAGCAGAGATTTGCAATTAAAATATACATAAACAAATAATTTATTGTGCAACAGGTTCAACTACTTCATAGTTTACTCCTTGATATTTCAGTGCAGAAACTTGGGGTTTGGGATGTGCACAGGGGTCATGGGAATATTTGCCTATTTTTGTCTTCCTCAGCATGTTATATTAAATGTTGTGCCATGTAAATATACAAGTTTAGGGGAGATAATGTGCCAGCCAGATAACCTGGAGGTATTTTATGCTGTCCAAAGGATACTGCTTTGTAAAAGCCTGGTTTGTTTGAAAAAAAAAACCCATCTTTTGGAACAGATGGGCTGTTTGGGGCCCTTTGGAAAAGGAGGAGGTTGAGCAGCAGTTGTGGGATGGCTGTCTGCTGCACTGCAGGGAAAGGCACAAACCTGAGAGCTCCTGAGCCAGATGAAAAGAACACAGCAGGGATTTAAAGCTCTTTTCTTAGGGTTTCTTTGCATAGGAAAGTTTCTGAGAGTAAGCAGAAGTAATAATAGTTCCAGGCTATGTCCCCAGAGAGAAAGCATTGTGGGGGCTCATGGCAGACACGCACAGTCCAGCTCTGCAATGAAATCAGCAGGTATCAAAGGGAAAAAAAAAAACAAACAAAACCAGCTTTTTCTGCTTTGATCAGTTTGAATAGACACCAAAAAAAGGAGGTGGTTTCAGGTGGGGGCTGATGGATGTGTCTGGAGTATCCCTTGGAGAGCTTGTAGCCCCATTCCTCATGCTCAGGCCTGCAGGGATTCTGGGCACAGCCTCATCATTGCTTCAGCTCCACAGCTGTGGAGCGAGGCAACAGCAGTGGGAAAATATTTTAAATACATTTAAGGTGCTCAGATCCTACCTAGCAGCCTGGCAAAATACTTAATATCCTACTCCCACGCTTGTTTTCAGAGCTCCCTGCTGATTTCAGCATGTGTTTCCCAACGTGGCGAGGGGCAGTCAGCTGGATTAATGTGGGTATTGTGCTGAGTAACTAACAGTATTATGAATTAACCCAAGGTTTGTGTTAGCCTCTTAAGCCACTTGCGTGGCTCTTTGAACATGCACAGTGCTATAAAAACACTACCAGGGAATGAATCAGAATTTCCTCTTGAACAAAGGGCCGCTGTGTTTGAAGCAGGCGGCCCAGGGTGAGGTCGAGGAGTTGTAAAATACAGAGCTACCTGCTCTTATTAATATGTTCATTACATTACTGTGGTGAATATTAAGGAATTGTTACCTAATCAGACAAATCTGGTCCTGGCTGGGACTGCAAGAAGTGTGGTAACTGGTGTTTCCTTGGTGGGAATGAGCAGGTTTTGAGGAAGCAGGAGAATTTTCCTCCAACAAGCATAAATAGATACTAAATATAAAAAGTTTTTTTTTTCTCTCTCTCTCTATTTTATATATATTTATATACAGAGATCTCAGGAGCCAGCTGAGGAGAAGGGCAGGTGCTGTTGGAGACAAAGGGTTTGAGGCAATGGGGGGAGAGAGAAGGAAGCACCACAGAAAGCAGGACCACCCCTGGGTTGGAGGGGAAAGCAAGACTTAGGGATTCATGCTCCTAATAAGTGATGCAAAAATCTTGTGCTTTCTAAAGTGTGAACAAATACAAGAAAAGCAGAATCAGAACGGCAGGAATATACAAACCAGGCCTGGGCTTTGGTCCACCTCTGGCAGGACCCAGACTGATCCCAGCTTCCCCAGGGAGGTGTTGCCCACCTGCTTGCTCCCCCTTCCTGCACGCAGGGGACACATGGCTTAGCAGCACACGTTTCCAGTGACATTTTCCTTCTCTCATAAAAGCTGTCACTTTGGGCACCTTGCCCACACTCCAGACTCCACAAGATGTCACTTTGAACATCAGCAACAGGAGGGAAGGTATGAAAGAGATGGGCAAAAGGAGCAGCACTGGAGTGCCTGCAAGAATCCCAAGGAATGTGCCATGCTTCCCCTAAGGACTAAGGTACATATGCTTGCCAGAATTCCCATTTTCCTACTCTTCATAGAGATGTATTCCAATCTAAATTATTGTAAGATTAGAGTCCTCCTAAAGCCAAACCCACTTTTGCCTTTTCACTGTACCCATGGGGTGTAAAATCCTTCCCAGAAGGAAAAAAAGTATTTCTTGCTCCTCAGAAAAGACCTCTGAGCTCTCCTGTTGCTGGGCAAGAGGAGACGTGTATGAGCAATGTTGTATCTGTTCTCTCCCACTCAGCAAAAAGTGGGTGAAGACAATTTTCAGTAGATTAAAGACACTTTCCTACTTATTCAAGGCTTGCCAGAAAACTAACGCACCTTCAAGGTCTGCCTCCCATCAGCAGTATAAACAAAGAGACCAAAGGAGTGTCTGATGAATAAATTAGCTTCCCCTACTGCAAGCCATTCCCATCACCTTACAAGAAGCCTTTTTGCCAGCCTGGCATCAGGCACCCCCTGCTCTGTTAGCATTGGGTAATTAACTTTGAGCAGAACGAGCCCAGGAAAGCCAAACTGCGATTACGCATCTCATTGGAGTTTGGATGCTTCCTAAATGGCTCATGCTTGTCCCCACCAGTTGGTCTGGGCTCCTGCAGTTCTAATTGATTTTTTTTTTCTCCTTGGGCTACATGTTTAGCATAAATAATAATTAGTACCAGAAGGACAAGGGCTGGGTACCCATGTGCAGTTCAGCATCACTCTGAGCACTGTGGCTTCCTGTGTCCTCATTGCCCAGCCTCAGCCAGCCTGCAAGGACTGCTTGCCACCCCTCTAATTTCAATGATTTGTTAGCTGGTGAGCTGGGATACCAATGCAGATCCTTTCTGTCTGATGGGGAGCCAACACCTCTTAGAAACAGGGTTGAGAAAAAGCCCCCTCAGTGCCCAAAGGAGATTTGTTTTCTAGAAGGGAAGACATCTCCCAGCTCCCTACACACGCAACCACAGCAAGACAAGGGTTGTTTTTAAAATAAAGCTCTTTCATCCTGATAAAGTCCAGATGCTCATTCAAAGCTGCAGTGGCCACAAAAATAGCCAAGAAACCGCCTCCTGCCAAGTCCAGAGCTCCTGAGCTATCCAAAGGTTTAACTAAACTAAGAAAACAACAACCCACCTGGCTTAAAACAGAATTTCTCTTCAAAAGCAAACCCCACATTTAATAACAACCATCAGATAATAAAAAAAGAAATAATCCACTCTTTCTAATTACCTGGAAAGGACAACACAGTTGAAAAAAGACTCATCTCTTCAACCCACACCCAGAGAAAAGACTTCTGCCTTCACAAGCAACTTTTGGCACAATGGTAGAAAGCAAACAACCCATGTTACTCACCACAGCTCAACTGATCCCTCCAGAAGCCCTCCTTGCCCTCATTTACTTCCATCTGGCACTAATGGTGCTGATGGAGCCCTACCAACTACATCCCATCATTTCCATCATTGGGACACCTCAAACACACCTGTGGGGTGGCTGTACCTGCTCTGCTGGGGCAGAGCTGAGGGGCTGGTGTTGCTTAGAGCAAAGAAAATGTGGCCTGCAACCTGCCAGCTTGTGCTCTGGGACATGGGGACAGAAAGGTCCAGGGGGGCTGGGCAGTGTCAGGTCTGGTTCTCAGTACCCCAAATACTCTCTCTCTTGGTTTGCCCTGTGCCCCACAGAGCTGCTGTGTAATGATGTGTCTGTCTGTCTGTACATCCCCTTCACACCAGAAAACAGTAGCAGGGACTCTTTTCCCTTCTGGCTCTCTTCAGAAGAGAGAAGAAACCTCACCCCACTCCGCTGTGGTTCTTTGTACCACTCTTGCCTAAGTCCCTCCATCCCCACAGCAATCCCTCCCTGCCCACCATGCCTGGGGCATGAATGCCCCTGCATTAGTCAACCTCCAAATATTTAGATCTTTCCCAGGGCTTGTCACACAGCCATGGGAGAACCAGGCAGGTTCTGAGTCAGGAGATCTGAAATTTCCAGAGAACTTTTCCTACAATGTGTGGAGAAAAAGGAGTAAAAGCCTGTGATCACACCTTTGCAGGCTCAGGGTGGCACCATCCATGCAGCTCTACAGCTGGGTGTAGGTGCAAAGGGCACTTGAAGACCAGCCACTCCAGAGACATGACCCTGGACCACAGAGGAGATGGTGAATTTCCTCCCAGAGGTTGATACTGGAAGTGTAGAGAAGCTTGATCCCAGAATCAGGACTGGAGCATGAGTCAGATACAAAAAGAATGTTTTTCTAGTTGTCACAGCGCTGCCAGAATACAGCAGAACGACCAGAAATACCCCCAGATTTTTCACCCTGAGTACAGGGAGGAGACACATTCTCAGTTTCTGGCCAGAAACCCTTACCCCCAAAGGTGAGTAGGGAATCTCGTCATGACAGTCTCCAAAATGGTCTTACAAGACAAAACAGTCCCAAAGCTGTGCTTGCCATCCCCTTGTGGGTACATCTCTTCATCAGACCGTGCTGACAGTTGTCCCGTTGGAGCCCCCTGATGCCACCCCACCATTTGCAGCACCATCCTTGGTGATCTTCTCTGAGGCTGAGATGGGTTTGTGTCTCTTTTGCTTGGTGATGGCTGTTTCAATGCCCCTGAGACACAACTGCACGTCCTCCCGAAAGGAAGGGGTGTACAGTCCATAAATGATAGGGTCAGTGCAGGTGTGCAGCAGGCCAAAGAGGAAGAAGCTGTGGTTGACATACTCCGGCATCTTCTGGATCATGGCTGGCTGGAACCAGTACCACAAGCCCAGGAGATAGTAAGGGGTCCAGCAGATGATAAAGGTGGCAACAATCACTATGGTCATCTTGAGAGTCTTCATGCGTGCCTTGGAGATGTGTTCGTTTTGATTTCTTGTTAAACCTGTCAAGGAGAGTCAAAATGATAATTGAAGATAGGGGAAAACCAAGACAACATAATCATCCATGACTCTGCTTCTGCCAGAGAGGGAAGACCATCTCATAATCTGGTCCATGTCCCACAGGAAGCAGAAGACAGCAAGGACTGGGGTCAGTAAGTTTGTGCAAAACCTTAGTTAGTTTGTGCAAAACTTCTTAGCTTTCAAAGGATGTTGTGACACACCCAACAACAATTCCAGGATGGAGAAGTTCAGTCATGGAGGACATTAAAAGGCTGGGATCTACTTACCTTTATTGACCTTTAGCTGCTTACTGATCTCCCAAAGGATCCGGATGTAGCAGACGATCATGACACTCAGGGGGGTGATGTAGAGGGTGGTGAAGGTGAACATGTTGTAGACAGTTTCCTCCCAGTGTGCTCGGAAGCTCCCATGAGTAACACACTGGGTGAAATTCCTTCCTGGGATTGTGTTCAGGTGGAAGAGGAAAAGCTGAAATGGAGAACCAAATAATAACTCAGAGAGGATTTGGAACAGAGCACCGCATCCTAGAGATGCTGCTGGCTGTGCATGGAGAGCACCTTCCTGCTGGTGTCAGACTGGGAGATAGGCTCTGGGCACCTAACTCATGCCTAATTCTGGTGCCTGTGGAGTCTATGGATTGGGATGGACTGGTTGGGGATGTTGGGATGGAGAAGCCCTTTTCCAAAACCATCCCAGCCTAGGCAAACTCCATGGGGAGGAACTGAACTTTACCTGGGGCAAAGCCAGGAGCACGCTGCCAGCCCAGGCAGCACGGAGCAGCATCCCATTGCGGCGGTGAGCACGGGAGAAGGGATGGAGGATGGCTGCGTGCCGGTCCAGGCTGATGACCACCAGCACCAGGGCAGCAGCATACATAGCAAAGAGCTTGAGGAAGTTGAGGACCTTGCAGGAGATGTCCCCTCCATACCACTGCACTGTCACGTTCCATGCTGCATCCAGGGGCATCACCATCACTGTCACCAGCAGGTCGGCCAGCGCCAGGCTGAGGATCAGCGGCTGCACGTGGGATTTCCTCCTCTTCCTCAGCAGGCTGCCCAGCACGGCTGCATTGCTGCCTGCTGCCAGCAGGAAGAAGATGGCTGTGATGACCACACGGATCTTGGCTGCTTGGGTGAACCGGGGCTCCACCCAGTACTGGGGGTAGGCAGAGGCTGAGACATTGGTGTCCTCCTGCGTGGTGGGACAGTGGGGAGATGCAGGGAGCTGCTCCTCACTCATGCCCTGCTGAAACACAAGCAGCAAAATTAACCTCATCTTAGGGGCTGTGTAGTGCTGCAGCTTTGACAAAAGTGGGGAGATGGTGGGATCTGCACTGGAGGTACCAGCAGCAGTCTGTCCCATTCTGTCTTGTCCCATCCTGTCCCTGCCTGTCCCCTCTGTGTTGCCCATTTTGCAAAGTCACCGTGTCCCCCCACCACAGTGACCCAGCCTGGCCACCCTCGCTGGCTCACCCCTGCTGTAGCTACAGTGACTGCTCACACAGACATATATTTTTAGCTCTTTGCAAGGTGGCTGAGCAGCTGGGAAAGCAGGAGTGGTGGCCAGGACCATGGAACCAGTCACTGTCTGCCAGCATCCTGCTGGGAATAGGTCATACCAGAGCTGGCTGAGCCTGTGCTGGGGCAGCTGTGCTCAGTTCAAGGACTTGTCCTTCCAAAGGGAGTTTGTAAGCAGGGCTCAGTTTTTTAGAAACCCCACAGCCCTTCCCATTAGTGGGTTAAACCTTAATGATTCATCTCCATTTCGAGTGCCAGATCTGGGGTCATGGGCAGGAGCAGCTGGGGGTGACCAGGCAGGAGAAGGGGCATCCCACACTGTCCAGAGTCTTACAGTGGCTCCTGGGAGAGGTCCACAGTGGCATTTAGGAGGCTGGACCTCCCCAGGACCCAAGCAGCACCAGCACAACACCTCTGTCCCTTTCCCTTCTGGTGGCAAAGCAGGAGGAGGGAAAGGTAGAACCCACCCTAAAACGGGGGTGGCTGCGGAGTGATGAGCAGTGTGGTTGTCCCCCACACTTGATTTCATTGCCCTTTTTACCTGAGTAGAACTCACGTTTTAAGGACACACACTTTCAGCTCCTGTGGTCACAAGCTGTTTACAGTCCCAGCTGCAGGTACAGCACATCTCCTACTGTTTCAAGCACCTTCCTGTTTGCTGATTCCAAAGTAAAATATTCCTTGCCTTCATACAAATAACAGGAACAGCAGAGATCAAATCTGTCTCCCCAGTTCTGCAACAACACCTCGCAGCACTGAGCCCTCCTCCAGCCCCACCACCACCCCCACAAGCCCCCTTCCCCTTGCTTCCTTCACCCCTCCTTCCCCAAAGAGGAACTGAACAAACAAGCAGCAAAAAGAAAGAACAGCTAAAAAGTACCAAGTTGCTTCTCTGGAAAAAACGAGAAATCTGAGTGCAGGTCAGGATTTATCCCAGCTGATGGGAACATACCTGGCATACGCATGCCCTGATGCTGAGAGAAGATGCTCCGTGTCTTCCCCAGGGGTCCCCCACCACTGCGGTGCTGAGTCAGGACGCTCCAACGTTTCCCTGCATCAGATCCCTGCAACAAACCTTGAAGCAGTAAAATTTCCCCTTGCCAGCAGGCAAGCCAGGAGCGACGCTGCTGTTAGCACAGGCATATGCAGGCATCTGGAGATGGGAATGCTGCTGCAAACACTCCCTGCACCTGCAAACCAGGAGCAGGGCACACGGAGGCAGGCACCCATGGGCAGCCTGGCTCAGGCAGCCACCATCAGCCCTGCCCTTGTTAGCTTAATGAGCTGCCCACTTAATGAGCAGGCAGCGGGGATGATGACAAAGCTGCTGTAATGCAAGAAACAGCCAAAATTCAAAACGTTGTGGCCAAACGTGGCTCTATCAGGGATAAGTGCCAACACTCCCTGTACTGGTTTGCTATAAATACAGGAGAATGAGTTAATTATCCTGGGAGTTAGTGATGAACATCCCGTTGCTCAGACAACCGAGAAACTCGCAGACACGCGCACACACGCACCTCAGAGATGCTCCTGGACCACACGGGTCCATGGAAGCATCACAGGTACATGCTTGAACTGGAAATGCTGCAAGGAGGGAATTAACAAGGGGAAATGTGGTTCATTTTGCCATTTTAATGAATACACTTTTTTTCCTGCAGTCTATCAGTTCCCATCAGGTTCTTTCTGTATCTCTTGCAGCATAACACAGAGAGAGGGAAGGACCTTGGGAGGGACAAAGAGCTCAAAAGAGCTTAAAAAATACGAAGTGCAATGCGAGGACAGGGAGGGAAACTGAGGACATCCTGCTCTTCTGGAGCTGTGGGGGTGAAAGAGGGATAGCCCCAAGCCCTGCTGGGACCAGCATTGGCAAACACACTCCCAGGGGCTTCACTGGGACTTTAATGACATGCAGACAGACCTTCACATTTTCCAGGCTATTAAATTAAAGAGTACGTGGTATACAAGTCCCTGCAGATCCCAGGCTGGCAGTGGTGGCTCTGCATTGTGCCTCAAGAGGAGGAGATTCCCTTTCTAGATTAGGTTTTCCATTATTAAAACTACTCCCACTTATTTCAGGAGGAAACGCCTGAGCTCTGAGGGTGGTTGCACCATCTCTGAGGCTGCTGTGCTGGCAGGAGTGCTCCAGGGCACAAGCAGAAAAGGTATTTTCCCCTTTTCCAATTTGACTCTTAAACCTTTGTGGGTTTAAGAGTCAACTTGTGTGGCAGAAGGACCAGCTCCTGAGACCCAGGAGATGCTGCAGGCACTGGACCATGTTTGCCCTGGAATCCCCTAAACTCTCCATCACTTCTGCATAGAGCTGCCAAAAGGGATCAGGAGGAAATCTCTCTGCTCAGAGCCACTCCTGCATACAGGGGGAAAGAGGAAAGCAGAATCTGCTGGCACTGCCAGTGAGCACCAGCCAGCCCTGACACATGGGATGGGACTGTCCCCATCACCTCCTTACCTGACAGAGGCATCACCCACCAGTGCCTTGGAAACGAGCCTGGCCCTTGGGGTACAAATACCACAAAATCTGCATAGAAGTTGGGTGGAAGCCTGTTCGTTCCAGCAGCCACCTCCTCCTGACATTAGGTTCCTGCTCAAAGCTGAGATTAATTAGGCCCCACACACTCATCCTTATTTTCCCTTTCATTTAGCCCTTTGCACCTGCATGAAAGCAATTAAGTAGCAAGTCAGGAATGTATTCCCTGTTCGTCCTTCATCCTGGCTGATGGCCTTCTTGTCTAGAAATGTCCTCTCCATCCCTAGCTGTATGATGCAAGAGAGGGACAGGATTTTTCTTGGGAATTGTAAGCCTTGCTTATGCCACAACAAAGCCTTTAGTCTCTGTTTGGAGAGGATTTTTTTAGCATACCATCACACAGAAATGTCCTGGGCATGCATTAGCAATAAGTCTTATTTTAAGGGTGGGGTCCCTTATTGAAATGACTGCTTTTCTCCAGTATTTGCACAGTAACCCCCTTGTGTTTTCTCTCTTTTTTTTCTTTTGCTCATCTCCTCAAAGGTCAGTTTGGATGTTGTCTGCATGGCAGCCTTCAGCCGAATCTCTGAACGCTGGTTTAACGATCAGAGGGTTTTGGTGTCCAGGATTAGGAAACAGTGCTGGCAGGCAGGGCTTGTTTCCATACATCCCAGCTTGGCTCTTCCCGAAATCTCCTCCTCTTGGGATTCTGCCCCAGTACATCCCCAGAGCTGCAGTCCAGTGCTGGGTCATGAGGGGACAGAGCTTCCCCCAGTGTCTCCAAAGAGGACTGATCTCCCCCAATCCATATGGATCATCCCGGGATGCTGGAAAAAACAGAAATCAGGAACCACACTGGGTAATACAGTCCCAGTGAAAATTTCTGCATGAGCAAACCTTGAATAAAAATGCAAGTACTGTGTTTTTCCATCAGACACTCTGTATATACTGGGATCTATCTCATCAAGGGAAAGCAGTGTAGGACATAATTTCCATTAACCTATAGCAAACACAGGGCAGGGAACCTGCTTCTGTTTGTTCTGATAAATCACTGCTGGGGGCTTGGCTTCCCAAAGAGAAAAACTTGTATTTTCCTCTCTGAGAGAAACTCCAGCTGCTGGTTGTTGTGGGGGGTGAGGATGGGAGATTCTTCTGCTGGACTCATCACCCACACCCTCCCCCCAGGCAGGTGCTTCTGCCAGGCTGGGTGCCCAAAAACTTCCCTTTATTCAGAAAAACCTCATGATTTCAGAGTGTTTTTAATGCTGATTCTTTTTTCCCCCCTGCAATTCTTCTTCTTCTCCAAACCTTGAATTGTCTTAGGAGCAGCTCATCCAAGGAAATTTTTGTCTCATACTGGACTCGAAACAGAAAGTCTAGTCAGGGACATCTGACATGCAATGTTTTTGTGAGTAAATACCAGCGTCCATGAAGTCATTTCCCGGGGTTAGAAATGAGCTCACCTCTGGAACAGCTTCTCTTCTTACCCAAAGTTCACAAGTCAAGCGATTGGGAAGCTCCCAGTTTTCAGCCTTTTCATTAAATAACAGCATCATAAAAATTAGCACGGTGCCACTGTGCTGTAAGTTACAAACAGGCCTGAAACAGGGCATCACCCAAAATTCCCCAAAATCTCTGCAGCAAAAGACAGGGACACAAAGCCCAATGATCACTGGGGATAAACCAAGACCTCATTCTGCCTGCTCAGCCAGCCCTGGCTGCTCTGTTGAACCTGCCAAGGAGGGATGGTAATTGCTGCCCCTCCTGGGGATAATCTGGATCACTCCATCCCCCTCCCAAAAACCTGTGTTTAAAGCAGAGGGAGGGATCTGTCCGGCCTTCTGGGCTCAATTACTTGGTAAACTGTGCCATTAGACAATTTCTTGGTGAGACAATGCTCTGTTTCTGATTCGGCTTTTTATATCAAAACCTCACTGATAAAAAACCCTTCTCGGGGGTTGCACACCATGGGACAGGGGTATTGGGAAAAACGTGCTCAAACCTGCTGCAATACCCACCTTTTAATACCCCAGGCTGGTGCTCCTGATGCTGCTGAGCTCAGATGTCCAGAGTATCATTCCCAGTGATTCCCCAAATTTACATCTTTCCACTCAGAGTTCCTCCATCTTTCACCAGGACATGTCAACCTGAGTAACATCCTCCTCCTCATCTCTAAACTGGAAAAGAAGGAGGATGGAATTTATCATCCCAGACCAGATCCTGAAGTCAAGCCTGAA